CAATTTTAATTGCTTCTTTTTTTCCTTTACATCAGCAACTGGGTTATTATCTGAGGTACACTTTCAGTGAATTCCCAGGTACTGCTATTATATCAACTATATTTTCCTTAATATTATTATTAACAATAAATATTATGTTTTGTGTGAGATTATTTAGCAAATATGCATCTTTATAACTCATCTACCAGCTGTCTGATCACTGACTTCATATCTAATTTGCTTATTATCTTAGATCTAATGTTTTTTGCTGTTCCTAATATATGTAAGGTGAACAGTAACTTGTGATGAAAATCAATGAGCAAATACAGAAATATCTCAGAACACAAAAACAGATGAAGAGATTTTATTATGTGAGCCAATTTTATATCCAAGCATGGAGATAATCAAATACAGTTTACATGTAGCATATTCAGTTCATCAAGTAAAATATGATGGCAATAACACAGTTTAGGTTCTCTAGGATACTGATTGTAAAGTAGAAAAGTCCATGCATAAAAGTTTTTTATTAAACTCTTGTATGAGGACTGGAACTGTAGGTAGAAAGATAGAGCAGGGTAGACAGAGGGAGAAGTTGAGCTCCATTGAAACCCCAATATATATCTCAGTTGATCCTTCAAGGGATCTTAGAATTTGGAATAGTCCAGAAAGGATATCTTGAATTGAGGAAAAGGCCAGGACTTTTATACACTTGTATCAACTAATAAGTGGGCATCTGTTACCCTAGGAGGAGGAATGAATTTTAGGTGGTTGGCTAACTTTAACTGGAGGCAGTTTTTGAGTATCTTAGCACAAAATTTTCTGCCATCAACACTTCCACTAGCTGAGAACACTGATGCTTCCAGATTAAATGGGTTGGGTGGGAAGGGAAGTAGATGCAGCTCTGTGGTGCATATTCACTACAGATGATCAAAGGGAGTAAGAAATAATTTATGGTACAGTTTTGTCTCAATCACAGATACAAATGAACTTGAAATTTTAAAACTGACATCCTAGGAAGAAAAAAAAAAACACTTTTAAAGTGTTGACTGCTAGATTTACGAAAACTTCAGAAGGTAAGAGAACAAATAATAAGACCAAGAAAAGGGCTTGTAAAATATGAGGAAAATTCTTTCAGGGAATTATGTTTCTGGGAGTTTTTTTTTTTCCCTCACTAAGTTAGATAAAGCTAGAGACCTTTCACTGACACTGCATTTTACCCAAAATTATTCATGTTGTTCAAAGCTAAACATGGATCAACTAAATTTTCCCAAATGTGAGAACTGGAGAATTAGAACTTTAATATTTAACTTACATTACACGGGGAATTTCAATTACAAAATACTACTAATACACTTTGACATTTGATTTTCTATGCATTAAAGCACCTATTCAAAATCATTGTAGTAATAGTGGGTGCTGAGTGAGGAGTTAAAGATATATTGGAGCTAAAGGTTATTGAATAAGGCCCTTATTGTCCACGGAAGTATTTCTGGAGTCTATCACAGTGCCTGAAACAACAACAATTAATACATAATTTTTTTGTGTGCTGGGGATCAAACTCCTGATCTTGTGCTTGCCAGGCAGGCGCTTATGCCACTGAGCTAAATCCCTCACCAATAAATAATTGCTGAAAAAATTTCTGTAAGTTATTTGTCACTCTGTATTATTTGTGCTTTGTATGGCATTTATGTAATATATACTTATATGTAATTGGGTAATTTTTCCCAGTTTATTACAGAAAATTAAGTAGTATGTGCCTTATGGTAAGAATATTGGAAAAAATTACACCCAGATGTTCTTTAGTCATTGTCTTTCTGATCACTTACATAGGAATTCGACCTTAGAAAATCAGATGGAGGAAATAATTTGTCTTATGATCAACTGACATTGCTGTCTTTTTGTAGACAAGCATCTTCCAAAGTGTGTTCAAATAAGTTGCCTAATATTAGAGCACTATGGGAAAATAAAGGTGTATGGAAAACTGAATTTCTACTGTGTTTCTAAATATTGAATAATTTTTCGGATATAAAATTAAAGATGATTCATAAACCTTACTTCTACTTATGGTAATAATAATATTCACTCATGTACTGTAAAGTATTACATTGAGAGATGAGGTGTCTTACCAAAGACTACAAAAAAATTAATGTGGAACACCTGATATTTGACTGTGGTTCCAGATGGAGGGACAGCTTGACAAATGCCATCATAATTTACAACTTTTAAAAAGTGTGGTGTGAATGCATTTGCAATACGCTTTAAACAGCTTGGATTATTTACAGGTACAACTGTGTTTAATGTGGAATTTTGATGGATTTAAAATATTATTAGATTCAATCACTGATCATTGAATATAGGTGTGACATGTGAGCAATGTGATTAGATGCCTTAATTAAATAGCTCAGAACAGGACACATCTGTTTGGGGAAGCTGGGGCATGATAAAATAGCATTTGAATTTTATATTTTGTTATTGACTGTTACTCATTAAACTTCTATCATTAGAACGACAGTACATTTTGGACTTAATCCTCTAATGTGGCTTAGGAAAATAATAATCACAGAAAGCAAATAATAGGAACACAGTAGTACATAAATCTTAGATGCTTGTACCCATAAAACAAATAAGATAATAATTGCTAATTGATAAGATTTACATTAGAGTGTAACCTGAAAACACATACAGTCTGTATCACTGGAAGGAAACAAAATATTGAAACTTACTGAGTAAACTGAAGAAGGAATCATATATACGATAGTCATACATAGAATGTTTATTATATATGTAAACAGTGATTCCTCTCTGAGCTTCAAGTTGATATTTAAAGTGTACATTGGCTCATCATACACACACACACACACACACACACACTCAAGGTATAAATCCTTGAAAGATTCATTGTGGTAAGAATGCAACTCTGTAGTGACCTTGGAATAACTTGCCTAACCTTCCTCTTCAAACTTCATTTAAGACCACTCTCACCCTGACTCATTTGCCAACTCCAGAATAATCTCATCCTCCAAACCTGTGTTTCTTTTTGCATACTGTTCTTCACCTGGGACCCCTTTCCACTCACCCTCTGAATCTCAAACATCTTCTCTGACCCATATTACTACCAACAAAAATTAGACAAGCCTTAGCTGCCTTCTAGTTTGTGATAGTGTATTTTTTTTTCTTGACAGTTCCATCACATTTTGGTTACATATGTATTTGAACATGAGTTGTTTTAATGTATTTCATCTGTTTAGAGTACAGGCTACAGAAAGAGAAGGCATGTGTCTGATCCGATTGTCTACTGGATACTTAGTGCCTAGCCTGAGAAGGAAATACAAAAGAGGAAGAACACTTGGTGGCTGAGCGAATAGAGTAGACCCTGAGTCTGTTTAATGCACTAAGCAGTTCATTTTAAGAACTTTAGTTTCACTTTACCATGTATTATTCACAGTGTTCCAATGTTTCACTTAGTTACATTGTGTCAATGAAATTTTAGTTAAAACAGGTCAAACTTCAGAAAGTATTGTTCCAAAATCAGATGTTCCTACATCTCTCTGTAATCACTTTATTCTTACCTTTAAAATTCATATATATATATATATATATATATATATATACACATACACATACATACATACACACTGAATGTAATTATATTCTGAGAGAGGAGTGATTTCATTCTGAGATAGTGTGTGACATAAGCCAATTAATACTTGAAATTGCAATCCAGTATAAAGAGAAAGTAAGAGTAAAAGTTAGAATTCATTAACTCAGACCATGATGGATGCAGTGAAATGCAGCAGTGACGAGTGAAGTGACTCCAGATCTTTTCAGGAGGTGGAGTCCTTAGAGTTTGGAGAAGTATCACATGACAATATGAGGGAAAAAATGTCAAGAATATTTAAAAACTTCTATTTAATGTACTGATTCTCCTAATAATGTTATGTGATTCAAGAAAAATATAACCAACCCATCTCTATTAAAATTTAATTTCTTTAACGTAATCTGATGGCTTTTCAGAGATGCCTCCTCCAGGAACACACAGCCCAGTAATTCTGCCCACTTCTGCTTTTAGCTGTCAGCCAGGTGTCATTTTTTTTTTTTTTTCTTTCTCACTTTCTTTGAGTCTTGTCCTGATGACAGCACTGCTTCATGAAAACTGTATCCCGAGAACCTAATGCAGATTGGGCATAATGAAGGTGTTTGGCAAAAATGCGCTGAGTACAAAGCATGAATTAACTAGTAATAAATAGGGAAAACCTTGACCCCAAGGTGATCCTGATCCATCAAGATTATGTACCATCCTTTTAGAGAACGTGATGGACCATCAGAGGAAGATGCACCCAGCTGAGGCATAAAAGGAGCGAGGTTTGGAGTACAAATGTCCTCAGAGATGAGGTGAACATTTTTTGCTTTGGGAATCTTGTGAATGAAATCATGCCACTGTTGGCAGCAACCTTCAGCGCGAAACGTAAAGAGCTCTTCAAAAAAGTCTCACATTGTATATCAGTGCTTTTATTTTTTATCTTCTTTTTAAGCAGTCATGGGATGAACTGTCCTGCAGAACGTGGCCTCCACCCTGTACTCCCTACGGCGCTTACGCTGCTGCTGGCACCCGCGACCTCGAATCCTCCCTGGCACCCCAAGACCTGCCCACCAACTTGGTAGGTGGCTGGAGTAACTTCTTTTTCACCCTTGGAGAGTTCCAGTCACCCGTGTGACAGTTTCTGCACCTTGCGGTGTTCGCGCGGGAGAAAATAAAAGCAGTTGTGATACTTTAGCGCCTGTTTTTCCCTTCAATCCCAGCGACCCCTCACGCCCGGCCTTCGGGCACCAGCTCAGCCTGCACTATGCAACTGAGGGTAAAGGACACTGTGTAGGGAGCACCTTCTCCAACCTGCGTAAGAAACACAAGCTTTGCTCGGGGACGAGGGTGGCACCGGGTCTCCGGGAGCAACCCGAGGCTCCGCCCCCGGGGCGTGGCCTGCAGCCCCGCCCCGCGCGCTGGCCTTCGCTCTCCACAGGATCCCCGCCAGTGCTGTGGCGAGCTTCACTCCGGTGTCGGTTTGGAGCCTGAGGAACCCAGAGGGGTTGTCTTTGGAGACTCCAGCCCATAGTCGTAGCCATGGCCCCCGTGCTTAGCAAGGACGCGCCGGACATCGAGGTATCGCCTGCGCGTCGGGTCCCGGGTCCCGGGCGGGAGGGTCCGCGCTGGCCGCGCCGCGCAGTGGGAAAAGCGGAAAACTTTGCCTCCCTCGGCGCCGCGCGCCCGGGTGGGCCTGGGCACTCGGGAGGCCGCCGCGACTGCAGGGGGTGCCCTTCGCTGGGGACCTGTCTGTTTACTTCAGAGAGGACGTGGGGAAGTCCGAGGGGCAGTGACTGAGAAGCGCCGGAGCTCCGAGGGCCGGACTGTGGGGGATGGGAGCGCGCCTTTCCGTGCTGGTCCACACCGAACTTCCGCAGCTGTCCCCTGTGTCCGCTTCTGGGACGCCTGTCCGCCGCCACTCACCTCCAACAGCTGAATCCTACTGTTTGCAGATGGGTAGAAATAAAAACGTGTGTGTCAGCTGTAGTAGTCTCTGCCAAGCACAGTAAGTATATTGTTTGTGAAATAATTTAATAGGAGAGAAAAGGGGCAAAGTACTGAGAACATCAAAAAAATACATTGCCTTCGGAAGGATGCAAGCGAACTGGATTTTTCTCACCTCAATTTTTGATTCCCGCTTGCACCCCGCATTTGTAAAAATGGCATATCTTTCTCTGAATATGGCCCTCTCTGAAATGGCATGGCTCTAAATTTTTCCTAATACCTTAATAAATAGTGTGAGAAGGATTAAATCATAAACAGTGATTGTAGACCTACCAACCCAAAGTCAGCACTTCTGCGCTAAGGCAGATTGCTTTTGACTTTTTTATTCTGTGTCATTTTTAAATTTCTTTCTCTGGTAAAGGATTTGCCTGTATGTACCCGCCTGCGTGCCCGCGCGTCCCTGTGTTTAGCAATATCAAAACTTTCTCAGTTATTTGACAGGTTTAAATGAAGGTTTAAAGCCACCTGTTTGCAAAGTAGAGTTTTCTGGCACATTTTGCCTTTGTTACTAATTGAAGAGACTTTGTACTCTCTTTCAGAAACAGCAGTAGTGGTGTAGTGTTTTCTCCAGACTCCATAATTTGGTTTGAAAAATCTATTTTAATAACAAAAGCCAAAGGTTATCATGTGGACTTCTGTAATTATTATTTATCCTGTGGATAGTTTTTTTATATTGATCAATATGATTGATTTATTGAGATATTCATGTTTGTACAAAGTACAATATTTGATTTTTGGTCCATGTGATTTTCCTTCAACCAAATGTTTTGTTTTGTTTTGTTTTGTTTAAAAACCCAGTCAAGTAGCCGACTTTTTACAGCATTCAGGCTGTATTTCAAATCAGTGTCAGAGTATAGGTGACATTAAATATCCAGCTTATGTTGTTTTAACCAAGAATATTTAAGAGGTATAATCCTTCCACTATCACTGTACTCTTCGTCTTGCTAACTAGTCTAGTTAACTGTCTAGTCTTAGTCTAGCTAACTGTTTATCTTAGTCTTGCTGGAGAGGTTGGTCTTACCATGTGAAATGGTCAAACTCCTTTAGCTTTATGTTGTTCATATGTTCAGTACACTTTAATCAGTTACATCTTTCATCATGTACATTGCTTTCCTTTTCCTTCAAAGTAACACCTACGATTCATGAGGTAAAATACCATGAAAGAGCATGAAATTAATCATTAAAATATAATGCAGTAAGGAAAACTACATTAAGCCTAGGAAAACATACTTAAGCCTGGTTGTGTTAGCTAATTGCATTGATTTGCCAAAGTTCATTTTTGAGTTTAAGAATCAGAATGAAGTATGAAGTTTCAGTTTTCTATCAAATTAAAATGCTTTCCTTGGACAGATTCATTAAAACCATTCTGCGGATCTTGATCTAAGTGTGATCATTGTTTTAGCCTCAAATACATGGAGAAGCAAGCAATCTTTTAAAAATTATTGTTATGAAATAGTTAATAAATGTGAACACATTGATTACGTCTATGATAAATGAGAAAGGAATGTAACATGATGGTGACAGCTTATTCTAACTGTGATTATATTGTCCCTGAGAGCTAGGTACAAAATCTCAGATTTCAGTGAAGCAGCCAGAAAGTACATTATCTTTGTTTCTGGAGACAAAAGTTATTGAAGTACACAGAGTTGCTTTTTGTGTTCATTTTTAAATTCTAGACTCAAACCAGTATCAGATTATGATTGGAAGAGTTGGAAATAGAAATAAAAATCAAAAATCACTTGAGAAATATCCTGGACTGCAGGATAGCCAAAGAATGGTAGTACTTGTTAAAAGTATTAGTGCATATAATTAAAAATTCTTATAAATGTAATAGTTATAGAAATTGCATGATAAGTCAAGTACCTTTTTCCCCAGACATATTAGTGTGGTTCAGAGCCTGGATTTGGGAATGTTACCTATTTTGTTGCAAGTGTACTTGCATAATCTGTTAAGTAATTAAAACAATGATAGGATAATGTACAAATGGCAAAAGCTAACAGATTCTTGTGAGGAAAAAGGATAAGCATGTATAAAAATATGTAGAGAAGACAAAATATCTTATTCTCAGGACAACCACTGCCAATGAAATAATTATTTAAAATTCATTAACAGGATCTGTATATTTTAGATCTGTATATTTTAGTTTACTTGTGGTTTTGCAGTTTTGGGTAAGATAATTTTGTTAAGGATGAATTTTGAATGTGGATTCTCCTGAGAAGGTTTCAAAGAAAGTGAATATTGGACATTGGTCATTTTTCCTGTGCTCAGCAGTAGCTTCAGAGTACTTCTTCACTTAAATTGACTTGCTAGCCAATAGAGTGTCAGTACCTTCCAATTTAAAAGCAAGTAAATGATTTTTCAAGAGTTTACTTTTGTTTAGTACCCTGACCACTTCCACCAACAAGGATAATTGAGAATAGACTATAAAGCTATGTAGTTAAAGTGTATGCATCTATAGCAACTATTTAAGTGATTAAAATCTAGAAATTGTTGGCACTGAATTGCTCTTCCACCCTGTGTTCTGCCCTCAGTGTCCTAAGTAGAAGTTTTGACTGTACTTAACGAATGCTAAAGTGTTAGAATCAGAGTACAGATTTGCCTTGAATAAAAGGGGGTTCTAGTTGATTGCATAATAAAATGTATTTTGAGTCAATTAGAAATGGATTCTAAATAATGGGTTTATGACTTCTTTCAAAAGATAATTGAGAACTTACTGTACTTTTTTAAGAAAATGAGATAAAATGGTGAATTTTGAAAATGAGAACATTGTGGAAATGACTTGGACCAGGTCAATTTAAGGAAAATTTGAAATTATGAAAGGCATGGTAATAAATTGAAAGAGATGGTAAAAATATCCCTTAATCCAGAAGTCCTTTAATCTTGACTTTTTGTTCCAGAAGAGTGAAGATGGTCATGGATCTAAAGGAGAGATTAAGAGTTTAACTTAGTAAGAGTTATGGGATATTTATTTAAATTAATTAATGATTCACTGAATGTATAAGAAAGAATCCTTTCTTTTCTGTTTCTCTGATTGGGCACCATGGGTTATGTGGAAATTCAGTCTTGTTTAAGGGTTTCATAACCTTTTAGTTTTTTTTTTTTTTTTAACTGCTTTCTGAGTTTTAGCTGTTGGGTATGCCATTGTTTTCCCAATTTTGAATTATTAATTCTAATTTATAATGTTCTTTTAAAGGGGTTTATCTGATCAATAAAAAATGAATGTGATTATCTGATTTGAAGAATCCCTAATCCCTTTGTATGAGGAGGCATTACCCATTTCTATAGTTGAACATGTTCATATATTTTCCAGTGCAACTTTAAAAAATACCCCTCTCTCACAGTAATTCAGTGGATTAATTTTAGTAATTTAATTAAAAACTATGAGCTAATGACTAAGGATAAAACTGTCACTATGGAGAAATTTAGATTAGGTCTGTTTAGTCTTAATGATAGTCTGGACGAATTGCCTGTAGTAGAATTTAGTAGCTCCTTTCTTATACTCTGAGTAAAAATTGACATTTAAAAGTTGAATGTTAATAGTAAAAAAATTAATAATAATACTAAGAGAATATAGCATCAAGTGTTTTGGTAATTAAATGATGTTTAAATAGTCATTTTTTAAAGTATTTGAATATAGTATTTTGTCAAACAGTATAAACAGGCATCAGTAAAGGGACTAAAATCTAGACCTTGTAATAAAGTAAAGGTATGTGATGAACATGAAAATTTTCTGTAACAAGATTTGAGGTGCAAAGATGAAATAGTGATGAGAATGGAATAGACTGTCATAAAATATTATGGCAAAGAAAATATATTGAGATATTTTATATCAATATAGGTAAAGAGACTGAAAAGTAAGACTGGCCAATTTACTTTTCTGCTTCATAGCTGTGTGGATTCAATAACAAATATGCAGTAGAGACCATCTGTCTTTAAGATTGCCAAGACAAATGTTATTTCATTTATATCCCACCTTAGTTCAAATATTTAATAAGGCATTTGTGGATTTTAAATTTATTTATAGTCAGGACTTAAATTTAATGTATGACACATTCATCTTTTACATTTCACTTCCTCTTAATTCTCCATATATGCTCAAAGGTTAGATTTTTTTTGTCTTCAGACATAAGGAATATAGATTTTCACAGATAATATACAGCCAATTATACTATTGAGATAACTCTTATAACATTATCTATTTTCTGAGGCTTATAATTATTGCTATTTTCATTACTTAAGCATAATGTTATGCTAATAGGTATGAAATAACTTCATTTAACTCAACATTTAACTTTAAACTTTAATTTCAATACAACTGTGTATATATTAGCGTTAAAAATTAAAAAAAATTATATGATGTTATTTATATTGTATTTCATGCAATTAAGCTTCATTTATTAATTAGTATATAAAAATTGCATCATAATACACCTAGGTTCAAATCCTAATTCTGCTATTTATTTGTGTAATTTTTGTCATAATTTTCTGTGGCCTATCATTTATAACTTTGCAAATGAGATCTAATTTTATTTGTTTCATACCTAATTGGAGTCATATACATTAGTTGCCCTGAAAGTACCACTCACATAAGATATAGGGTTTTTAAAAGGCAGTATTCATTTCAATATTATTACATATATCATGTATGCTGCATAAATGTTAATTGAGTGGAATTTGTTTGGATCCAAAAGTTAACTAGAAATATTGAAGCTATCAATAGTTTGTAGAATCTGTGTTAGGGAAGAATTAGTAAATTTAAAAAGAACTATGGGGAAAACATTATAGATTCATAAATGTTGCAAGTATGTATTATAAAAATTATTGATTTCCATTTTTCAATTTTAGACGTACGATGGAGAAACTTTTGGAATTCAGATAAAATTAAAAGCTCTGTTTTGTTTCTTTTCTACTTTTTAACTCTATATTTTGAGACAGGGTTGCCGTGTTGCCTTGGCTGTCTTGGAACTTGCCATCCCCCTGCCTTAGCCTACTGACTAGCTG